TTTTACCAATAAATATTGAGAAAATCCTCATTGTCCAAATATATTGTTTGACCAGGATATTAAACAAATAGTCCCAAAAATCTATGCAAAATTATCTCCTCCCTCACCAACAGAATTCACAGAGAAAGAAAGAGATTTCATACACACGGAATATTCCTCTAATGGCAATTCTTGCAGCATTATCCGGAGTAAACCTCTTCTCAACACTCCCCACCACCCCACCACCCTCCAGTGATCCCAACCCCAGCCCCTACGCTAAACCCCCCATTCCTATTCCCAAATACCCTCCTCCACTAAGAATCCAAAAGCAAAGCAACCGCACCCCAACCCCCTCAAATTCCCCCTCCAGCTCCAAGTCTAGCCCCGCCTTCAAAACCCACCACCACAATTCCAAGTACTACAAGCCCATTAAACCCGGCCAGAAAATAACCCCGCCCGATGGCGAAAACCGTGAGATTATAGTCGGGAATTCAGGAATTTCGTATTATTTACCCGGTGCCCCATTTGAATTTATGTACAGTTATTCAGAGGTGCCAAAGGCTGCGCCTTTGGCTATGCGTGAACCGGCTTTTTTGCCCTTTGAACCGCCCACCATGTCCCGGCCTTGGACGGGTAAAGCACCCATGAAAAAGAGTAAGAGAAATATTAAGCTCTTTGAGCCGTTGGGTGGTGTTGAAAATAATGAAAATGGAAATGTGGGTGAAAAAAGATTTGAAATGTTCAGGGCTTATGAGTTGGGGAAGGTTAATATGAGGCCGCGTGAAGAGGTGTTGGGGGAGCCATTGACGAGAGCGGAGATCAAGGAGCTGTTAAGACCTTGTCTGTCTAGTAATAGACAGGTGAATTTGGGTGAGTTTTTGTTTCTTCAATCATTTTCCTTATAAAAGAAATTTATTTGAATTTGTCTGTTGATAGGGATTTGTGTGGTGGAGCTGAAAAGTACGGTTTTAAAGTTAACGTTTTGATCTTGGTGAAGTTGTGAGGCAGTCAATATTTTGTAGTACCCTTAGCAAGTAGCTGTTGAGTTCTGTCTAAGTTGTTTTAGTATTGATATAGTTAATTTTATGGAAATCCACACTATAAAACTGTTCACATTGTAAAGTCGCTTCATATACGAATTGGAAGGTGAGATTCTGTAGGTTTTTCTCTTTTGTGTTTTTGAAAGTGTATGTCATGATTGAAGTTACTTATCGAAATACCCTGTTGTGTTGATTAGAAGATGAAATCTTGTTAGCTATGATGGTGGTATAAATTTGAATATTTTGACTTGTGCGTTAGTGTTTCAAGGTTGTGAAGGGTGTTTATTCATTTATATATTGGATTCTATAGGTAGGGATGGATTAACTCATAATATGTTGGAGTTGATACATACACATTGGAGGAGGCAACCTGTTTGCAAAGTTCGTTGTTTGGGTGTTCCAACTGTTGATATGGACAACATATGCCGTTGCCTTGAGGTTCTACTTTGGCATTACTTTAAATTATGCCCCTGTTTGACGACCATTATCCAAAACTCTTTTCTATATACTTATTTTCAACCACACAATCATATAATAAAATATTCTGCACGTAAATCCAAAGCTTTTCCTTACTTTTTAATCACACATTTTCCAAAAATTTACTATTCAAAACTTTATTTTTGGGTTTTAAAGCCCATGAAACAGGGGCTATATTCAATCACTATTGTTCTAGTTCTAAGTTTGGATTTCCAGAAAGTGAGATATTTTTTCCGTTTAGCTTTTAAATTGTTTGTTTCCTATTCTTATAGGAAAAGACCAGTGGAAAGATCATTAATCGGGTTGGTGGAGTAGTGTATCTTTTCCGTGGTAGAAACTACGATCATCGAAAACGTCCAAAGTTACCTGTGATGCTTTGGAAACCGGCTGCACCAGTTTATCCGAAACTCATACAAGAAGCTCCAGAGGGGTTGACGAAAGAAGAGGCCGAGAATTTACGAAGTAAAGGAAGGAGTCTGCTTCCAATATGTAAATTAGGTAATTCTTCAAGTTCTCTTGTAATAGATTGGTGTCGTGCTTAATGAAATTTGAGAATTTGTTTTAATTTGATCTGGAAAGATCTAGGGCTTTATGCTCAGGTTGTTGCTCAAATTTTTACAACTAGGCAGCTCATATATTCCAACAATAAGCTTTCTTTTGTGGAACTGTTTTCAAAAAAAAAAAAATGAAGAAGAAGAACAGAGATTATGGAACTGTTTCTTGTTATGCTTCTTCCCATCTGTTATACAAAGCACACATTTTCTTGAGAGTCTTCTTATTAATCCTCTCTATTTCATGAAGGCCCATAAACATAATAATAGTCAGCTGTATAAAGACATTTTAATTGTTTGATATCATCACAAGCTCAGACTACCTGAATGCTAGTGCATCCTCGTGCTTTCTTTTCCTTTCAACTGAGTACTACTTCTTGATTGTGTATGTATAATCCAGCGACTTTAGTGCATCCTTGTTCTTTCGTTTCCTTTTCAATGATAACTACTTGATTGTGCATGTATAATCCCACGACTTCTCTGTATCTTTCCAATTATTTACTTGTACCAACTATCAATGACTTTCTTCCTCTTATAACAGCCAAAAATGGAGTCTATGTTTCACTGGTGAGGGATGTGAGAACTGCTTTCGAAGGATGTCCTCTTGTTAAGATCGACTGCAAAGGGCTGGATGCTAGTGATTACAAGAAGATAGGAGCTAAGCTGAAGGTTTGTATTTATTTATTACCTACCATGATCATCTGTGGTAGCGTATTTGCTTCTCTTTTACCCCCTCCCCTACTCTCCAAAATAAATAAATGCGATAATTTCTTCTACTCATTCACCTTTTCTTCAACTACAGGAATTGGTTCCCTGCGTTCTTTTATCTTTCGATGAGGAACAAATATTGATGTGGAGGGGAAAAGACTGGAAATCTATGTACACGAATGAAACTCCTAATGTAAAACCGTCTTATAGTGCAAGCGTTACCAATAACTCAGGTATTTGTGGAACTATAATCGCACGTGCATGGGATTGCTGGCATTGCTATGCTACTGCCTTGCAGTTTTTTCTACGATTTCTTTTCTTATAGACCTATTAAAACTAATTTTTCTTTTTGTGGGACCTGGGGTTCTAGGGGGTAATCATTCAATAATTGTCATGCAAAATATTGTTAGGAAACGAAAACCTTGTTCTCTTCCATTTTCGTCCGTCAAATTGCAAATTAGCGATTTATTCTGCTCGACTATTTCAAAACTTCTTTTTATAATGAAGTGCTTTACGTTTTCAGTTTTTAATTTTTATTCTAATATGTGGTTTGTTGAACTAGAGAGTAGGGGAAAACAGTGTGTTTGTACTGAAAATTTGAAAGACCACCTCTTTCAGTATGAGAGGTTCTATCACCTAAGTACAAAAATATGGTTGGCGATTGACCGCTAAAGCTGCATAAGATTTACGAAAAAGGTGGCTTAATTTGGCTGTTCTGACAACTTTTGTTTAATAGAATCTAAGATTGCTTCTCTGAATTAGATGTTGGGTTGCAAACTAGTTTTGTAGTAATATACAGCGGGATGGACTAACAGTTAATGAACAGTTATTAAATGCTGTATTGTCTTTCTCTAGTTTCTGTTGATTTCTTGTCCAGGAGTTAACATAATTGCTTTCCACAAATCAGATGCTAAATCAGTGAGATCAAGTCCGAGAATGATGTCCCTGTGGAAGCGTGCAATCGAGTCAGGAAAGGCATCAGTTCTAGATGAGATTGATCTTAGTCCTGATGATCTATTGTTGAAGGTGGAGGAATTTGGAAGCATATCACAGGCAATGGAACACTCTTATCCTGCTAATATCCTCTCAAATAAAGAGGGTCCCTACACTTCAACGAAACAATGGAAAAGTGAAGAGGATGTTGATAATTATAACGAAGGTGATAGATATTACATTAACTCATTTGAAGCAGTAGAATCGTCAGTTCCTTTAGGGACGTTGCCTGTTGATTTCATAGCTAAAGAACTTAGGGACAATGTGGAATGAAGTTGAAGAAATATAAAGCAGAAATTCGCAGTTTAATTGTAAGTTTTGATGTATATGAAATGCCTTAGTCGCTATTATTCATTTGGTGTACATTTGCATTCGACACGGAGCTGCAACTGTAAAAACTGCAAGTTAATGAATGAATGTATATGTAAATTTACGTAGTGTTTGACCTCAATTAAAATTATAATTCATTTTTTCGTATCTTTTTATCAATCACAAATTTTTCAATAAAATAATATTACACGTAAATTTAAAATTATTTCTTTTTTTTTTTAATCATACGTTTTTCGAAAAATTACTATTTCAAAATATATTTTCCTAAATTCTAATGATGGCCAAAAAAGTTGAATGAGGTTTTTTCACAATTGTGATCCTGGTACAGCAGAAAATTGGTTATCCTAAGTGGACTGCACTACATGAACAGTGAAGCACAGACTTAGGCACCCTGCCTATACAAGGGTGCCACATCGCCCCCATGTTTGAGCAAGGCCTACGTGGTCTTATTCAAACAGCTTTATCCTAAGTTGAATGCATTGTATCGGATTGTGTACAAACTGTGTGAAAACTAACTGTTTTTATTTCTATTTTCAACTACATTTTTCATTAAAATAATATTACACAAGAAAAAAAAATTATTTTTAATCGTATATTTTCCATAAATCTACTATTTTAAAGTACATTTTTAAAAAGTAATGGGGCTCAAAAATAATATATGCGTGTTCATAGCTGGTCCTATGTCAAAGCATAGGAGAGATCAATCGCATCAATGAAAATTCACTTTTTTTTTTACAATTTTTTTTTTTTTTGATCATTCTGGTTTTGTAAAGAGAGAGAGAGACGTTAAAAAATCCGGGCACTTTACACAAATAAGTTAAAATAATAAAGGAAAAATGCAGCGGAGATCTCAAATTTTAAATAAATGTGTGCTGTAATGATCTTTTACGGTTTTGTTCAAAAACTTGAAAGTTGGCTAATAGTCTAACGTTTGACCTTAATTTGACCAATTTTTTAAAAGGTAAAAATAATAATTTAACATTTAATCAATTGAAAGAATTTTTTTTTTAAATCTAAAAATAAAAATAAAAAGAGAAATAAAGAAATTAAAAAGAAAATCAATCCCCCAGACCCCCACCCTATCCCCACTCCCAACAACCAACCAACCTCCGACCACGTTGACAACCACCACCATCGAAATCCATTACCACGAATTCGCCACCATCTCTCATTTCTCTTTCTTTCGTAGCCGCTTCCTCTCTTTACCACTGCCAACGTTTATTTCGATACCTAATTAACGAGAATTGATGCACTCGAAACATATTGCGCCGCCACATGAGATACCACATGTACGAGTTAACTACATGAATGGTCATTAAACTTATCTTTATATTAATACTTGCTCATTGAATAAAAAATGATTATCCATTACTCACTCATATATCAAATAGTTACTCATCCATCACGAATGTGAAAATTCAATATACTCACTTGACGAAAATTATTACATGTCCGACGAAAATCAAATGGGGAACATTAACAAAGTTAAAATTATCGAGTTAATTAAATGAATATTCATTAAACTTATACGTATGTTACTCATTGCTCACTCATCAATTCAAACTGTTACGTAATCATTCATTATTGAGATTGATGTTGATTTATAAATTATCTCTCTATTCTTTAAGTTGAAAAAATACATATTCCCAAAACTCAAACTATCCAAAATAATTTGTCCTTTTCTGTTAAGGTATTAATACTCGTAAACTATATTTTATAGTGCAGTTATGCCCATATCTTAGGGAATTTGTACTCATGAAGCAAAATAAGTAAAAATGGCATAATGTGAACCTAAGCAGTAATGATATGGGTACCTATACCCATAATATTATATATTAATACATACATCTTATAGTATGTAACCCATATAACTTGGTGTGTCCATCCATACTCTAAAATATCAGTAATAGTTTGAATAGATGAGTGAACAATGAATAACTTTTAATCAGTATTTATTTAATTAACTTAACAATTTAAAGTCTTCAAGGTGTCAAGTTTGATTTCCGTTAGGTACATGACAATTTTTGTCAAGTGGAGGTAATGGATTTCACTCCAGTGATGAATGTATATCCGTTTTGAGTAGATAAGCAAGTAATAGATAATTCTTTTTTATTCAGTAAGCAAGTAGTAACTGGTAGCAATTTTAATGACCATTCATTTTAATTAACGCTATTAGGTTTAGACATTAATTTTTTTCACTTCTTTCTTAATTTTAAACCATTTTCTTAAATTATTAATTCAGTTTTGCCTACCAAATCTAACCTAATGACCACTGGCAATTCTGACTCAAGTTCCTGTATTCAATTCTTTCTTCTACTTTGAAAATCGACCCTTTCTGAAGAAGCATATCATTTGAGGGTATTGGAAAAGCAGCTGAAGAAAATAGATAATTGTATGAGTGTGGGTATTTGATTTTGTTGCAACAAAAAATCAATCATCTCTAAGAAATTATTAGTGATCAGTTTTCCATCATAGATACTGTCACGCCTACTGACGAGGCCCCAAAAAATTCTACATGGCACTTGGACCTATGCCCGCACTTCACGTACGTCATTTTGCTAGTAGACAATCGTCGAACCCCATGAAGAGATTGAACCAGTATGGAAGGCCAAACCCATTTGGCGGAAGTTGACCATTGCATAGAATCGAACCCTCGTGGCGAGAGAGGCTGTAAGGGGAGCCGGTAGGAGATCTTTTATGTAAATCTATAATAAGTGATAAATGTGACAATTCACCGCTGACGTCGCCTACCTAACTTGTTAGGTCAAGACAAAGCCTTGTGTCAGAATTATTAGCAACAAAATGGTATTAGCATTAAATGTTTATGATTGATTGATGCAATTAATAAGAGGTCTCAATCGTGTAGATGAGGCCACGTATATTTTCATCCCAAGCCCAATATTTATCCTATTCTACTATAAAAACTCACACAATGTGTCATTCCAAAAGTAATGTAAGTTTAAACTTTCAAGCTACAACTTTGTTATCCTAATTATTATTATCACAGTTTTTCCCAAAGCCGCCTCTATTTTTATATTGGAGGCTCGTGTGGTTAACTATTTGTTCAAGTATGCAAGAATCAGGCTTACGTGGACGTGGGAGACCTTGGGATCTGTTGATCACATTGAAGGTACATAATTCGAGATCAACATATACAACTTTCTACATTTGAAACAAGTGAATTAAAGTTCTGAAACAAGAATGAATCTTTGTGTGCCAATAACAATGTTGGACATAGAAATTGACAAGGGAGAGATGGGAAAATGATGTCGTGGTGTTGGAAGAGGTGGTAAGGGTGAAATGTGGCGATGTAACTAGTGGTGGCCGCTGATTGGTGTATTTTATACACTTATTTTGACTTCAATACTTGATTATTTATTGTTAATTAAGCGGAAATCTATATAATGTACATTACGTTGTGTTACTTGTAAATTTGTGAGTAAATCTCATTTTGAATACACTTGGGATGCAATTAGCTTGAAAAATAATTTTTGGAACTTAATTGGAATTAATTCAAAGCATTGATGATCAACCAAATTACATTTGATGAATTAGAAGTATTGAGAGAGCAACCGAAAGAGATTCACTAGTTTCAGGAGCTATATATAAGTTTGAAAAGTTTAGAAACTTAATTGCAAACCCTTGCATCTACTACAAATGATGGTGGAATGATAAGGATCAAACTATAAAGATTTGAAGGATGCAAACATGAAGGAAGACTAACCAAGAGAAGTAAGGTATCAAAGTGGACAAGGGTAAAACTCTTGCGCCTTGTGATTGCAAGCGTTTAGACTGCAGAACCTACATCTTCTAATCTTGGCCCGCGAGATCGTAGTCCATTTGCCTTTACGATTGCATAGGCTATTCCGGCAATAATTATTTTCTTTCCGTATTTGAATGAACTTCTCCATGGAAAGCAAATAGAGCATGCTTTTTGGCCTGATTCTCGAGTAAATAAATACAATTCTTTATCTACAAACAAAGCTAGGAAGTTTGGCGACTTTTGTAAAGAAGCTAGTCATAGTTGAACGTGAATTTGAAATACTTTATAGGTACTATAAAATAATATTGTAAGATGTGAGAATATAAAAATTAATTAATACAAATTTTTTACTTGAAATGAACTTTTGATTCAAATGAAATAAAAACCAGTTTGTGAAAACAATTTAAATAGTGAAGGAAGTCAATTAGAATAGTCCATTCATTAACCCTTTAAATTTAAACTGAACATCCAATGAATATCATCATTTTTTTCAAATTTGCTTAACATGTATTGATCATATTAAAATGAAATTATTTTTTTTAGATACGCATTTTGTCCCTTCCATTTACCTTATATATATCTTAACATTTATTGAGTAAATTAATTCGAAGGAAACTCTTAAAATTTTCATCTTTTGTTCCAAATTTATTTTAATGATTTTAAGTTACTATCCATCGAGTGGAACGAATCTGTCAAATATACATTGATGATAACTAAATAATAAACAAAATAATTCATGATAATATTGTTCAAATGATTAAGAGTGTGTTTGGTAGGGATTTTGGGGGGGAAGAATTGATTTTTGAATAGTGATAAGATGGGAAATGTGTGGTTGGAAAATAAGAAAAAAAGTATTGATTTGATGGAAAATATTATTTTATTGAAGAATGTGTGATTGAAAATGAGAATTGATTTACTGTAGAAAATGAGAATCTGTACCAAACATGCCCTAAATAAATCAAATACATATTGAAAAATAAAAATGTTATGAATATATCAAATATGATTAAATAAATTAAATACATATTGAAAAATGAAAAGTAGTGTATTATCGAAATAATTAAATATATATTGAAAATAAAAAAATAAGGTATTATTAAAATAATTGAATTATAGTAATGATAGAATCGCCCAGAAAATGAATCCTGCTTGATGCAATATTTAATATATTATAGATCTG